GAAGCTGATGAGGGTCCTTCTCCTCCCCAAACCTGCCTCCTGCAGAAGGAGCTTCCCTGCTCCTAAACCTCCCAAACCCTTCGAAATCCATTAAACGCTATGAATTTTGTAAAGCGGGAGCTGCCGGGGTTGCCATGGTTTCCCTTGCCTGGAGGAGCTGCTCTGGAGCCCGGATTCGGGAAAGGGGGGGATTAGAATGGAGGACTGGGATTTTCTTTGCCGCTGTGGAGGGAGAGAATGGGGGAATGGCATCCTTGTGCTTTCCCTGCTTGCTCTCTTTTCCTTCTCCCCTTCCAGTCCTAATTTTATCTGTGCTTCCTCTGCAAATTCCTAAAGGATCCCAGCTGCTGGGCCAGGCTGGGGACGCTGCTTTTCCTGGCAGGAGGATTTCAGGGGAATGGGGATGGGCAATGGGCATCATGGAGGCTGTGGATTCCCTGGGCAGGCGTGTTAAGCCAGGGCATCTCCCGGGGAGCCCGGAGCGGGCAGGAAGGGTGGGGAAAAGCCTTGGGGAGGAGAGAGGAAGGGAGCGGAGGAAGAGGAGGGTTGGGAGGAAGGATGGAGGGGCTCTGCCCTCCTCACAGCTGTGGAAGTTGTTGTCAGACTCGTGAGCTGAAAAGCGGAGCAGAGCCCCTTGGAGCATCGCTCCCCTGGCCTCAGCCAGCTCTTTCCCCAGCTCCGGCTCTGTCCCAGTTGCTGGAAGTGGGACGAGACACAGTCCTCTCCCAGCTGGGGCCCCGTGTCTATTAGCCCAGAGCTAATAAAGTGAATCGCTGGTGCTTAATGAAGAAGCACCTGCTTAATTGAACACAGCGGGATGGTGGCCAGGCAATGGGACGGGACCAGCAGTGTTTCCCCCCCAGGCTCCCCACAGGTCCCAGTGGACGGGATGGTTCCACAGTTAGGCTGGATTTCATCTTAACTTTTTTTTAATTCTAGGAAAAAACAGAGTTTCACCTTCTTTGAGCAAGTTTTGGGCCACCCTGACCCTCTGCTGTCCCTTTCCTGCGGGGTGGCTCAGGGCAGGGATGGGGCTGAAGTGGTTAAAGGGACGAGCAGGCGGGATGGGAGCTCAGACAGCTCCCTGAAATGATGATGTTTAGATTAGCCGGTTTCCAGGCATCGAGTTGTCAAAGCAAGAGGACTGGGAGGGATGCCGGGGCTTGCCCTTAATTGGAGATGTGGCTCTAAAGCCACCCCATCTCTCCAACATCCCCTGGGCTCCGGCATGCTGTCCTGCAGCAGCACCCTGCCCCTGTGTGATCTCTGTTCCACTTGTTCCCATACCCCATCCCACACCACCGATCATTTGTGTGATGGGAATTTGTTGCGACTGACACTGCTGCACTGGCTGCTGGATCAGAGAGGCAGGAGGACCCCAAGGTGACATGGCCATGCAAAGCCTGTGGTGACCTCTGTGGCTCTTTCCTTGGCCAGCATTGTGTTGTCGAGGAGTCCTTTAGGCAAGGGGAGGGCAGGGTCCTGTGATTGCAGCAGGGGCTGGAGGTGACCCGCTGGGTCCCCTCGGAGCCCCACTGTGCTCAGGGTGTCCCCCACGCTGCAGGCACACCCTGCCTCCCATCTGCCTGCAGACGCATTCCTTGGCTCCGTCGGAAAGGCTTGAATAACCCTTTTAATTTAAGGAGTTAAATTTTAATGGCCTAAATACCTCACTTCATTATCACCATGTGCCTGTGCCGCCGCCTGCCTAATGTCTCCAGCGTGGTGCCGTGATGCTCTGCAGCTCCTGCCTCCCTGGGGACACTTCTTCCCCTCTTCTTCCATGCCAGGATGTCCCTGGGGACTCTCTGAGGGGATGCACGTGTCACCCACAGGGATGCAGGGAGAGCTCTAGGGAGAGGCATCTCACTGTAATGATGCGTCGGGGGGGTTAGCCAGCTCCTTCCATCATCACATGGCATATATTTGGGGAGATATGTATATTAAGGGGGGGGGTGTGTGTATATATACACACACACCCCTGTGTTTATGGGATATGTATATCTGGGATGTATTTCTGGAGTGTACATATAAGGGGTATGGTTCCCACTCTCTGTCCCCTCTGCCCTGTCCCCTTCCACAGCCACCCCACTGGCATCTCAGTAGAAGCCACCTGTCCCCTGTTCAGCCCCTTGCCCTGCCTCCTCCCAGCCAGCCTGGCGTTCCCCTCGTGCCATCGAAGCCTCCCAGGGGATGGGCTCCGGGGGACCCTCCCATCCCACCAGCAGCCGCCTGGTGCTGGCAGTTGGGCTCAGCTGCTGGCTGCTGTCACAGAGGCCGGCAGCTGCAGGGCCAGCCAGTTGTCCCCTCCTTTGGGGGACTCTTTTGGGATGTGCCGACCAAGGGGCTTCATTGGGGGGGAGTTCAGGGTCTCTGCCTGTGCCACAGGAGGATGCTGTGCACTGGCAAACTTATTCTGCTGGTGGTTCCCAGAGAGCCTGGGGGCAGCTGGAGGGGTTGGTGCCCAGGCAGGGCGGCATCCCCGTGGGGTGACACGGCTTTGAAGCGCAGGGACGGTCTCCACACGGCTGCTCCTTTAACACCCCGACAGTTTCCAGTTCCCCAGTGGCACCGAAAGGAGGGGGGGGACAATCCCAACCCTTCCTCACTAATGAAAACCAGGCCTGAAATTAGAAAGCGTCTCGCGTTCAGCCCCCCGCTCGCTGTGAGCGCGGCGCTCGCCAGCCAAATGGCAGAGCTCCTATTTATGGAAAGCGAGAGCCTTCCTTTTCCGTGGAGGAGCAGCAGAGGGGGGACCTCACCAGCATCCTCGCTGTGGGCAGATGAGGGGAGCTTCGGAGGTCACTGAATTGCCTTCCATGCTCCCCAGGGCAAATGGGGCTCCTCCATGCTCAAACAAGCTTCTGCTTGTAGCCTTTCTGAGCCTTTCTGCAGGGCAGCTGCTGAGCTCTTTCTGTAGCCTTTCTCCCTGCGTGAAAAACACCAGCTCCCTGCCAGCCACGAGCAGTGCAGCCGGTCCCCGGCTGTACCAGCACACCGAGCACTTTGCAGCTGGGGCTAAAACTATCCTGGTGTTTGTCCCTGGAGGACCTCTCCCCTCTTTGGGCACAGTAAATCATCCCAGTTCATAGTCTAAGTGCCCAGCGTGGCTGCTGGAGGAAGTTCAGCAAGGATGGGGCACCCAGTTGTCCCCTCTTAGTGGAGAAGGGTAGTGTGGAGCCAGCTTGCCCCTGGGCTGGGCTTGGTCGTGCCCAGGCTGGGCTTAATCTGCCACAGCTGGCAATGACCAGATCCTGCCTGCAGCACTGAGCTGTTGATTTGCTTTTGGCCCCATCAGGATGGACTAAAAGCCTCTGCCTTCCCCTTCCCTCCCTCCGTGCCTCACTTTCCCACCGCTCTCCCTCCTCCAGCCAGCCCGCGTCCAAGCGGCGAGAAATCAGGGAAGCGTTTTCATCCCCATGAATGCAGCCAGTTACGTAAGAATAATTGGGATAAATGAGCTTATTTATCACAGCCCATTCCATTTTAGCGGGGTCCAGGGCGATGGCCGGGCTGGGTTATGTAAAATCCCGCACAGAGCATCTCATTGTCCGGTGGCAGCCACGCGGGATGCGGGAGCTGCTGATGGAGAGCAGCCGGCGCTGGGTGAGGAGGGGACAGATTCTTTGGCACGAAGAGGAGGTGGCAGAGAGATGGGGGTTTTCTTCCTCCGCGTGTTGAAGAGGGAAAAATCTTGTCTCTTCGTTCTCCTCCTGCATCCCTAAACCACCGGGCTTTAGGGTATGGTCTTTGGTGTCTAACTACAGCCACATAGTCTTCCACTAGTCCTTCCTCACAGGGATGGGGGCTGAAAACTCGCCTCCTTCCTCCTCCTCACTCCAGGAGGTGAAAACATGACCTTGGTGGGGGGAGTTCTGGGGTGCCCTCCACCTCCTGGCCAAACCAAGCAGCTGCTCCTTGTTTGGCCTCTGAAACCCTTCCAAGATACCTCCAGGTGGAAATCTGACGTCCAGCTAAGATTATCTGGTGGGGAATGGTGTTTGGTAGGAGCTGGGGGAAAGCAGAGTTGCTGTTTCAGGAGAAGCTGGAATGCTGGAGAGCCAGGTGGGCTTCCCTCTGTCTCTCTGATGCCCACACTGGGGAGCTGAGCTGGTGCTGGGCAGCGTTTCAGGTGTCCTCAGACAAACTGCCCAAGAAGACAAGAGCCTGGAGAAAAACAGGAAATCCCCAAATCCAAACAAATGTGGGAGGGGAAAAAAAAAGAGAGAAAAAAAAAGTCGGTTTTTTTTTGTTTCTGGTCTAAAAAATGTTGAAAATCTTGGGAATGCCTCAAGGTTTGTTAAGCAGGACATTCCTGCCGTGACCCAGCCAGGCAGATCATCGTGGGCTGCAGTGCTGGTTACGCCGTGTTTTGGGGAGAGTGCTGCTGGCAGGATGTCCAGTGGAGCACAGGCATCTTCCAGCTTCAGCTGGAGCTCTGGAGCCACCAGCACCGGATCTCATGGCAGCTGGAGCGTGGAGTTCAAAGAGCAGCCTCTGGCTCCAGGGCTGCTGGGTTGCACAATCCTGGGAGGGATTGTTTTTCCCCACTGGCCAGGCTCACAGGCATGTTCCCTGGTGTCAGTGGGATACTGGTCTGACTGGGCCATCACATGCCCTCTGTAATGGTGCTGCTGCACACTCCGTGCACTGCTCAGGGTGGAAAGTAACCCTGGAACCTCCTGAGGGAGGTCATGGGTAGACTGGAGGTGGTACCAAGCTGTGGTGGTGGGTGCCAGCAAGGTTGCCAGAGCAGCACGACCAGGGATATGTCTCACCCCAGCTATTTATTTATTTTTTGTTCTTGCCCTGCATCCTCCAAATGCAGAGACTGGTATTGCCCCACAGCGTCTCCCTTCTGTTGCCACCGCACTCACCCAACCTCTGGTGCACCCAGATCTCCTCCCTGGTCCTCTCTGGAGGAGTAGGCTCACATCAGAGTCTTGTTTGTGCTTATTAACCATCCTTCCCCCCTGGTTTCTCTCCTCTCTCATACACAGGCAGCTTTGTCTACTCCTGAATGCAGAAAACATCTTCCACTCCATGGCAGACATCCTGCTTCGGGAGGAGAACCTCAAGTTCGCCTCTACCATGGTCCACACCCTCAACACCATTCTGCTGACGTCCTCCGAGCTCTTCCAGCTGAGAAACCAATTGAAGGACCTGAAGACCCCGGTATGGGCAGCAGGAGCAGGCTCAGTGGCTGGGGAGGGACATAATGGGGTGGTGGGGATCAGGCAGCCACATAGGGATGCATCTTGCTGCTCAGCCCCCACCTGGCAGGTCCCAGGGTTGGAGCCCAGGTGACTGCTTTGTTCCTCCACTCTTCAGGAGTTGAGGGGGGCTTGGAGGACGTGCCCAACTCTATCTCTCTGGGATGGGAACGGGCTTCTCAAGCCCTCAAGCAGCTGCTGCCTCCTCCCTGCACCCTGACACAGACCAGGGGACAGGTGACAGCAGGAGTAGAGCCCTGCAGTCCCTCAGCTGTCCTGCCAGGAACGTGCCTGTGGGATTTGCCAAGCAGCTGCCACGAGCACCAGTGACATCCAAGCAAGGGGGAAGAAGGAAGACTTCTCCTCCTGCTGAAGGCCAGTCATGCAGTGGTGTCCCCTTGGGTGGGACAGCATCATCCTCTAGCCCCTTGTCCTGTGGTGGATGCAGCAGCCCTGAGGGCCACCTCATCACACTGTCACCCCAAAACCCACCTGATCTCCATCTCCTGAGGCGGGTGGGCTCATGCCAATGCCAGGTGGACTTGGTGGGTCCAGAAATGTCCCTTCACATCTTGGTGGCACTTGCCAGCCTGGGGAGTGGGTGTTGGGTACCTGGGGCTCTCCATACCACGTCCTTGCTCCCACTGGTGACCAAACCCCAATGATTCCCTCTTTCCCCAGGAAAGCCGTAACCTCTTCTGCTGCCTGTACCGGTCCTGGTGTCACAACCCTGTGACAACTGTGTCCCTCTGCTTCCTTACCCAGAACTACAAGCATGCCTACGACCTCATCCAGAAATTGTATCCTTTGGGGATTTTCTGCCAGGCCGGTGGCCAAGCTGGCTCTTGGTCCCTCTGTGGCCACCAAGGTCACCCTGCAGGCCAGCCCAGCCTCCTCCCTGCAGCCCATCATTACCGGGGCAGGGCAGCCTGTGCTGGGCGTGTGCCAGCTCCCTTCCCCTTGTGTCATCCTTTTTTTTGTGGTGTAGAGAGAGGAAAGCGTGCGCTGACTGAGCCTTGACCTTCCCTTTCCCAGGAGGGGAGGCTCCTCAACGTCCTCTTCCTCCCAGGAAGATGAAGGCTTTGGCCTCCTGGCCTGATAAGGAGCAGGCAGTGCCCAGCACGGCGCAGTTCCCTGTGAGCTCACCATCTGCCTGCAGCAGAATGATTATTTTCGTGTGCCAGCAAACCCCAAGCCTCCCTGAGCAGTTTTCCATGCGAAGAAGCTCAATAACACGCTCAGCTTCCCCTCCCGGCTCGCACCGGCGTTCCCTCTGGGAGACATGCCATCTCCATGGGCCAGGAGGGGAAAAGCAAGCGTCCTCCCTTGCACCATCACCCTGCCTGCTCTCGGCCTTTTGGGCAGCCTGCCTCTTCCCCCATCCTTTTCTGCTCGTCCTGTCTCCCTCCATCATCCCTTGGCCACCCTGCAGACCTTTCAGCCCTGCCTGCATGTGAGCCCTGCCTGTTCCTTGCCCGCTCGCATCCCACAGGAGCCGTGGATGGTGCAGGGAGGGTTTGGCAGAGCCACGGCCCACACTGGGCATCACCCACGCGAGCCATCTGCTGCTGCCCGGACACCTTTTGCCAAGGAAACATCCTTATCAGCCACATCCAGCGGGGACCTGGAGGTCACTGTGGATTTCCTCACTGAAGTGGACAAGCTGGTGCAGCTCATCGAGTGCCCCATATTCACATGTAAGGAGGAAGCCCCGGGTGGGAAGGGGCGGCGCGCGGTGCTCCCCCTCCCCGCTCCTCCATCGCAGGCGGCAGCCGCCGCACGAGTAAATAGAGCAGAAGTTATGAGACTTCTTGCCGGGAGGTTTGCCCAGCTCTGGAGCTGCCCGTCGGGAGAAGGGCATGCTGGCAGCACGGGGGGGCAGCGTGCCCCCCAGATATAGGTTAAGGGAGCGAGCGACGCTGGCATCCAGCAAAGGGATGGGGGAACAGACTGGATCGCACTGAGCATCTCCAGGGGTGCACGAGTAGGGTGTCAGATGAGGGGAGCCCTGTGTGTGCCACCCTCGGATGCACGGGGTGGCATTATGGGTGCTGCTGGGGCCTTTAGCAAGGGGTTTTTTTGCTGCAAATGGAGAGTTAAGTTCTAAAAAAAAAAAAGACCTGCTGCTTTCTCCAGCGTCCAGCAGTGTGGGCACTGGGTAATGCAGCAGTGCCTGACCAGGGGCTCAGAGATGTGACACTGGGAGCTGGGATGGCAGCAGGGGACGTGGCAGGGTGACCTGTGTCTGCAGGAGGATTTCTCGTGATGGCAGTTTGCTGCCCCTGGGCTTCTCCTCGGAGGTGCAGCAGGGCATTGTGGTTGTTGGGAAATGTCCTGGAATGGAGTTTGTGAGGCATCTTTATAGGGCCAAGGTTGGGGAATGTTTGGGGGAAGAGGGTTAGAGCAGCTGGGCAGTAGAGACCCTCAGTCATGCTCCCTCTTGTAGTACCCTGTCCCTCACCCCAAGGATGATTCTCCCACTGTGTGAGTCACCCACATGTATGTGGTGATTTTACATGGCCCAAAATTATTCACTGAGGGTTCTCCACCCCACTCAGCTTATTTTCCACATCTCAGGATAGGGAACAGACATGTCCCCCATAAAGCAACATCTCTGGGTTTGCCTCCATTCTCTGGGAGACCCCTGAGGTGAGAGTGACAAGCAGGAGGTGAGATGCTGGGGCACAGACCTTGCCTCATGCCCTGGGCTGCCCCAGGTGGGACTTCAGTTGTCTGTAGGGCTCCAGAAGACCCTTCCACTGTAAGCACAGTGAGGGATGGAGCTGGAGGGTGGTTTTCCCTCTGCTGAGCAGCACTGAGGCCCAGCACATGGAAAAGTCAGAGCCAGGCAGAGAGGATCCCTTCTGCTCCAGAGCCTCCTGGGGAGGGTGTCACCCAGCCCTCTGGATATGTGATGCTCCAGGTGGGCAGTATTTCTGCTAATTCTGCAGGAGCTGAGGAGCAATCCCGTGTTGCATGTGTGTTCTCAGGCAGACAGCATGGACTGGGATGAACCTCAGGGATGAGCAGTAGCAGGAATGGGAGACTGGGGAGGCAGCTTCCCCCTTCCTACACTGGCAGCTGAGGGCTGTGTCAAGGAGAGGGACGGTGTGGGACACCAAAATGGATGAGTTAATGGAAGTGGAGAGAGGTGCCATGCAGGGGCCCCTTGGGTCAGCTGGCAGAGGCTTAGAGCCTCCACAGGACTGTCAGATGGGGTGGGAGGAACTTGCTCTTACAGCTGGAGGTGAAATGCATTTTCCCTGCCTCCCCATCCTCTTCCTGTCCTCTCCCAGATCTCCGCCTGCAGCTGCTGGACGTGAAGAACAACCCCTACCTGATCAAGGCTCTCTATGGGCTGCTGATGCTGCTGCCCCAGAGCAGTGCCTTCCAGCTCCTGTCCCACCGCCTGCAGTGCGTGCCCAACCCCGAGCTCATGCAGACCACGTAAGTGCCACGGGGACGGACCCCCAGCATCAGCACTGGGGTTGGATCAGCTGTTCCCCCACAGCTGAGCATCCCTGCCATCCCAGGCTCAGCCCCCATCCCAGGCTCAGCCCCGGGCTCCAGCTTTCGCCCCCAGCTCCGTTGCGACCGTGGCTGCTCCTTGTCCCCATGGCCGGGAGTGTTGGCTCGGGGGGTTTTTTGTGTCTATATTTGGTAACCCTGGGAGGGCTGTGCCTCATCCACAGGCATTTGGCATCTGGGATGGAAAATTTCACTTGTGGGGTCGCTATGGAAACGAGCAGAGCTGGGAAGGAGGTTTATGGAGAAAGACTCCGGCAGCTGGGGGGTGCTCCCAAAATGTCCCCCCTGCAGCCTGGGCAGCCTTCGCGGCACCCAAAAGGACCACGGCACCCGTGCAAACACCTCTGGATGGCAGCTCCATTCCCACTCCTGGCCTTTGGGGATCCATGAGATGTGCAAGGGCAGCATCTCCTTGGGGACCAGCCGAGATCCTCGTGCTCCCTGCCCAGGGGTGCTGCCAGTGGCATTTGCTTTCCAACCCTTGGCTAATGGATAGAGGGGGGTGGTTGATGGTAAAGCCGGCTCTGCCTTGGCAGAGCCTGGGAACAAAAAGAGCTCCCAAGATGGGCAGGTTTCTGAATTAACCCCCCGCTGCCGTTGTTGCTCCTTGGCTTTTAACTGCTTCCCTGGGATGGCTTTTATCCCTCGTGGCCTCCGGCGCTGAGCTCCTACCCACAACCCAGCACTGATATTTAATTGGGGGGGCGGAGAGGGGGCTGCATGTGCTTCCCCCTCCTTTTTTCCCCCCACTAGACCCAGCAGTGGGGGTTTTTCGAGCTGTCAGACGGCCTGAGCATCTGATTAACTCTGACCTACATTCCTTCAAACACCGAAGCCAGCTTTCATAACCGGCCAGCCCCAGCTGCCCCCTCCCCAGGGGGATACCGGGGCCACCAGAGCTGCCTGCCATCCTCCTGTGGGCATCCTGTGGCTGGTGTTCCCCCCTTCCTTGCATGGGGACAGCATGGGGCTGAGCATCCATAGCTGGAGCCCTAAGGAGCCTGCCTTTGGGGGTTTTAGCCACCGGAGCTCATCCCTGGGGGCTGTCCCTGCTGCCATTGGGTATTTTTGGCTTGCTCAAAAAACGAGACAGGGAAACTGAGGCACAGGGCACTGGCATCCTTTCCTCACTGCTTTTGGCTGGAATAGATTGGAATAGAGGGGAGCATCTATGTTGGAGGGGTTGAACCTCCCCTGTGGGGCCAAGATGGAGATGTTCCTTGTCCCCTCCTTGTCCCAAGGCCTCTTGGGCTCCTTCTCACATCATTGGGGGACTGATACATGTCTTTGGCGTTGTTTAATGGGGCACCAGCATAACAAGGATGTGCTGAGCTCAACTTCTTCAGGACAAGCTTTTGGTGCTTCCAGTGCTGGATGATGACAGTACCAACATCCCCAACCCCTCCCCACCCTCACTGTCTGTTCCCACCCTGCAGGGACAACACCAAACCCAGTACCAGCTTCAAGAGAACAACAGCCTCCAACATCGACTACACGGAGCTGCTGCAACACTTTGAGAAGGTCCAAAACAAGCACCTGGAAGCAAGACACCAGCGAGCCGGGCGGGCAGAGCAGCTGGACCGGCGGGTGGTCCTCTGAGCATCCCAGAGGCCACCGAGGGTGTGCACAGTTGCTGGGGCTGGGACCAGGGGACACGGACCAGGGAACGGGCACACCGGTTGCTGGCCGCCGGAGGATCTGGTGGGTTTCATGGAGATGGGCAGGCGCTCAGCACCGGGCTGGTTTTCCCCCCCACTGTGCATGTGGATGATGGGGGACCCTCAGGCTGTGCCCGACTTCTCCCGTGGGTGTTGTGGGGACGTGGGGAAGGGTTGCAGGAGGAGAGGGCCAGGGTAAAGCACCTCATCTTCTCTTGCAATGGGGCGAGGAAACTCCCCTTTGCTTTGCTAATGCCTTCCCCGTGACTGTCAGCTGAGAGCCCAGCCTGCTGCCAGCAGCACCGGAGGAGGGGAAGACGGGAGCAACCCCTGGCCTCCCGCCCTGGAAAACAAGCACGCAGGGCTGCCAGCACCTCTCGCCACCCCGACTTCCACTCTCTGGCTCCAAGGGCCTGCTGGAGGTCACCGGTGGCATCTCACTCGGGGAGCCACTCCTGTGCGTGACACTCAGCCCCCTCCCTGCACTCACGCACCCTCCCTGAGCTCCTGGCTCTTGGCAGGGACAGCGGCACAGCCTCAACTCCCAGCCAGCACCGGGGGGCACAGGGGGCAGTGGAGACCCCCATCACACTTAACCCCAGACTCGATTCCTGCGTTAAGCTCCCCATGATAAAATAAACAAGCAATGCAGAGCAGCGCATTCCTTGTTGCTGGGCTTCCCGTCATAGATCCGTTCCCAAGCAGAGCCAAAACCACAGCAAGGGCAGGGGATGGCATGGAGCATCGTGCTTGACCCTGTGCCCCAGGCTGGCCCAGCCCTGCCACGTTGGCTTGCCAGCGAGCAGGGCTTCTCCGCCTGCTCCTCTTCCCAGCAGGAAAAAAATCCAACAGGAAAAAAATCCACCACTGAAATTCTTCCAGGCCACGGTCATGAAACGGCAGTGTGGTGACAGGCATTTTCCTGGCCCTGAGCAGCCGCTGGCGCTGCCTTCGCCCTGTCCCATGGCACCAGGAGACTGTGGCACGTGCCAGGCCGGAGCGGTTTGGGGGAACCCCGTTGCATCCCCTGCTTATTTCAGGCCCTCACCTGATCCCAGGGAAAGGGGGGTTGAAGGAATTCATGGAGTTTTTATGGCTTCTGGCCCTGTTTACAGCAGAGGCTGTCTCTGGCAGTGGGTTCCCCGAACAGCCCTGTACCGGCAGTGCTGCTTTGGCCAGGATAAAGACATTCCTGTCATTCCCGGGAAAGGGCTTTCCAAAGGCAGTCACGGCGGGTTAATTTTAACAGCCAACCCTTCAGGATGGGCGAGCGGTGGCTTCCCAAGCCCACCAGCTGCTCAGGGCGCTGGAGGGGGTACCCTTTGCCAGACCCCCAGATCATTGCCAGCGTGGGCCAGGGCTGCTGCTGGCCCTGGGGCTCTGCCCATCGCTCCTGCTGGGCTTGCCACCACTGAGCAGCCTCTTTCCACACCGAGGGACTGGGTTTATGGGGAGAAATTCCAGTCGACTGCTGAGCCCTAATCATTTCCTTATGGATGCTCTTGACCAACACCGGCTGGAGCAGCGTGGGCATCACCAGCGGGGGATCGGGGCTACTTCACCCCAGCTGAGCATCATTTCACTGCGAGGTGTAGGGAGGTCCATCAGGGCTCAGCCTGACAGCCCCAGATCCCGGGGGGCTGGGGCTGGGGCCTCAGGATTGCTGCGGGAAGGGTTTGTCTGCTGGCAGGCCGTGCATTTCCCATGGCTCTCCAGTAATCGAGTGCACTGAGACATTTCAGAGCTGCTGTATAATCACCCCGGAGGGACTTCAGCCTGCTGCCTGCAGCACACCTTGGCAGGTCAGGAAGGCAGTGGGGGTCAAACACCCCTTGGGGAGAGGCTGAACAGGCAGCATATCCCCCCGCCATCACCAGGGCTCTGAGGCTGCCCGCGAGCATTCCGTGGCAGCTCCA